TCTCTTGGTTGTCCTCCGGACAACCAAAAAAAAACCTTAAAATTGAGCACTGCCCAGGGTACTGCCGGAACGTACCCTGGTACTAACTAATATGCCGGACCGTACCTCGCCTACTCCACTAACGAGTCTAAGGAGTCGCCTACGCCTACTCCCTAACCCTAAACCTAACCATATTGTATCAAATAGTTACCAGGGTACGTTTCGGTATACCGGACCGTACCCAGGGTACGTTCCGGCAGTACCCTGGGGGACATATAGACCCTATGAGCCATACTAGCACCAAGGCTAGGGCGGGCTAGGGCCTGGTCGGACTAGAAGTCACACCTGCCAACATCTGTCATACCAACATCTTTTCTTGTGTTGTGTGTGGTAGTGGTACTGTTGGTATATCCCAATGCTCGTTCTCAACTCGCAGCTAGGGCCTGCATACCTCCCAAATGGCCATTGGTTGATACAAATCTAGTTAATTTTTTAATTAAATATTAATTAGGGTTAGGGTTAGGGTTAGGGTCACAATGCACCATAAGTTTTATTAAAACAGGAGTTTCAGGCAAGTGATTTGTATCAACCAATGGGATTTGGGAGGTATGCAGGCCCTAGCTGCGAGTTCTATCTCAGTATCTGGACATATTAATTACGACGTGGATATTCGTCCGAGCATCGGACACCTGTTTCGTATGCGCTATTCGTCCGAGCAGTTGTTGCGCATGCGCTGTTCATGTTGCATGCCACAGGCGCACGGCACGAGTGCCGTAAGCGTAGGTAGGAAGTGTGAAGGGGGGCTCTGGAGAGTCTCCCCCCCACAATTTTTAAATCTAGACGCTCTAAAATGCTATTTACCCTTTAGATTTTTGATTATTTTATGCCCTTTAGGCTGGGGGCCCGTAGCGTTTTGCTACGGCAGCCCTACGGCTGTGACGCCCCTGCATACATGCGTTGCGTATGTGGTTATACACCATAGATAGTGTTTGGTACTATCACTCGCGTATATATAGAAAACCAAGTGTATAATAAGAGAACCTAGTCGGTTTATAGTCAGTGCTTTCGATTTGCTTCCCCAGAGCCACCTGGGTTAACCTGGGTACGAAATCGAACGCATCTGGCTTAGGGAAGATAAACAAACGGTTTTTGGGTTAACCGGGTTAATTATCATGGATGCCAGTGACAAGAAAAAAAGAATAGCAATTGCAATCTTATTATTAATGAAATCTAAGAATGAGCGGCTCAAGGATAGAGAGCATGTCCAGTAATAAACATCATCCTATCCACTCACCGTCCTTGAGCAAACACACGCAGTCATTCAATCATACTGCTACATTCATGCAGCACTGATTCCGCACTGATATCGTCGCCATGCATGGTGTCGTTGCAATGGATTGTGGGATACTTCCCCAAGCCCCCCTCCCCAAGTGAGCGGCTCGGCGAGCAGGTTACTTCGTCCTCACCCGGGTTGACCCAAAATACCACGTGACTGCCAAATCGAACGTATTTGGGGCTGGCCCGAGTAGACCCAGGTTAACTTGGGGAAGCAAATCGAACGTATTTGGGGCTGGCCCGAGTAGACCCAGGTTAACTTGGGGAAGCAAATCGAATGCGCTAAGTTAGTGTTAGGTTTAGGGCTGTGGTTAGGATTAGGGTTAGAGAGTAGGCGTGTTTAGGGAGTAGGCGCCACCCTAGACTAGCATTAATATTAGGCAGTGGCTACGGGTACGGTAGCCGTATCTTAATGTCTCGAGGCTACGGGTACGGGAGTCCATTCGCTTTCATACTTAACGAGACAAAGATGGCGGCGGTGGCGCCAGATTTCGAAATAACGCCTTGGGAAATAAATTCACGATTTGAGAGTTTAGATGAGCTAGAAGTTAGAACCCTAACCCTAACCCTAACGCCAAAAAGGGGCTTCAACGACAGATGGCTACCGTACCTCCAGCCACTGCGTTAATATTACATTTATGTAATACAACATGAACAGCGCATGCGCAACAACTGGTCGGACGAATAGCGCATACGAACAGAGGCGTGTTCAGGAGAGCGAGCGCTCGATGCGAACGCTCGATGAACGAACGCAGCGCCTTCTGAACGACACACGAGCGCTCGCTGTGCGCTCGCTTGATCAAAGATGGCAGCCCCCATGGAGGGTTACTCAGCAGATTTTAATCGCGAGAGAACAAGTACTGTTAAACGAATTAGCAGACGAAATTGATACAAATTGAATTTAGAAGTAAATGAATGAATGAAAAGTGAAATAAAGTTTAAATATATTGCAAATTGACGTCAGAAATGTTAGATTCGCATTCGCCAGATTTTTCGTCGCCATCTTGTAAACAACTCGCGCACTGAGCGAACAGAGGCGTGTTCAGGAGAGCGAGCGCTCGATGCGAACGCTCGATGAACGAACGCAGCGCCTCCTGAACGACACACGAGCGCTCGCTGTGCGCTCGCTTTATCCAAGATGGCAGCCCCGATGGAGGGTTACTCAGCAGATTTTAATCGTGAGATTTTAATACAGGTCTTCGAACAAGTACTGTTAAACGAATTAGCA